TTTTTAGTTTTTGGGTTTTTAAATAAAAAAAAAACAAAAACAATTTTGAGCCCTGATAGTACAGCTGTTGAAGAGCACAGCTGTTCTTTAAATCACCAGTCACTCTACCGCATTCAGCTTCCATAGATTTAAACCCTATGGACAGTTCGATTTTATCCTATAGGATTGCAATGAGTTTGCATGAATGTGATAACATTGGGTATTTTTGTTTAATACATGTTGCATCTTCTCACATTAATCTGAGGATATTTATGAAACATCTATTTTAGATGTTTCTTCTCCTGGAATTATTTGGCCTTCTATGTGTTTCCTATAAAAAAAATTCTATGCTTGAAATCTTATTGTTTATTTGTTTTTTCCTCTTTCCTTTCTTCTTCTTTTTAGGAAATTCCTCAAATATCTAGTGACTCCTGTTGTTGAAGTGAAATACTCAATAGTTGTTGAGACCTATGTGAATGAGGAGATGTTATATTCTAGTGGACTTTGTTGTAGAGTGATCAGTGTAGAATACTGCACCAGAATCTCAGATTTTATGTATATGTACATACTTTCAACTTGTGACAGGGTTCCGCTTGAATGACTGTCATAATTCAGTTTTGAGATACGCTGAATACCTCAATTTCTTCTTTTAGTTTTCAAAGTCTGCTGTAGGCTACGTTCAGAATAGTAAATCACAACGTTGGACATTTGGCAACTGAGATCTGAGAATTTTAACATCAGCAAATTACGTTCTGCAACACTGTATGTAGTATATATTACTAATGCTTTTTTGTCTGTGTGTGTGGTAGAGTCAGTTCATACTCATAGGAATCCTATGAGAATAGTGTTTCCAAATAATGTACGGTGGGTTTAAACTAGCAATCTTTTGGTTCGCTGTCCAGTGTTAATCTTAGAGCACTACAGGACTCCTTGCTAATGAGAAGCTGTACAAAAGAAAAAAAAATGATGATCATAAGTGCAGTCTGTTGTAATTGAATACTTCATAAGTTGGGAACTATAATGTTCAAAAGTGCTGTTAAAACAGTTCAGACTCAGTGCTCCTGTACAGATAGGATTTCCAAAAGGGTCACTGCTTCTCATAGAGGGGCACTGGGACTCCAATAGCAGCTACAATACACACACAATATATTAGTGTGGCAAGGTCGTGGTTCAAACCCATCATCTGCTCCTCAGAAACCCTATACAGGGTTACTATGAGTCATAACTAACTTGACAGCACTTAACATAACACACATATGCACATACACACACACACTTTATATACAAGGCATCTTCTTTTGTGACTGACCATTTCCCCCAGAAAATATTCCTCCAAGTTCAGCTCAATGATGACTCAATCCCGGCTGTTGGGTTCTCAGAGCCATTTAGGATATGTCTCACATCAGTGAGCCAGCTTGCTCTTAATCCTCCTGATTTTAGCCCATACCCAGACCCTTAGCTATGCCTAGTGTTTCTAAATGGAGAAATTCTCTGTATCAAACTCTGCAAATAGCAAACCTCTTCTCCCTGGGTGGGAGCCATGGCTATGTTGAAGGTATCTGGGAACCGAACTGCTCTACTTACAGACATTTACCTATTATTGTGCGTGCAACCCTATTTCCTGAGGTATCTTGTGACTCTAATTTCTAATATATTTCAGGTTCCATTGCACAGAGCAGCCTGCATCTAAGTTTTTTTCTCTCTCAGCTGGCACTGTGGATTAAGCACATAACTACACTGTTGGTTTGGACCCCATGGGCACTCAATGCAGGTGTGACTAGAGGTGGACTAACTGGGGAAGACACTCAGGAGGTAACAGGACCTGCTCAATACTGCATAACAAAAACACTTCTTATTTAAACAATAAAATTAAAAATAAATTTAAAAAATTTTAAGTTAGGATTTGGTGATTTATACAACTTAAATTGCACAATTCTAACTTCACAACTAATTCTGGTTTAATTCTGTTTACATATAACTCATTTCATTTTTATCAGCCCAAAATCCAAGCAGGTTCTCAAATTTGACTGTGCTTCAGAAGTCTTTGAAGAGCTTTAAAATATATATAAATTCCTAATTTCCTAATATTCTGAATAGAATTTTCACAAATTCAGGTTTCGACATTAACACTCAAATGAATTCTAATGTGGCATGCCTGGTTTTAAGAGTTGAGGAAATTGAGGCCATTTAAATAAAATTAGTGATAATAGATTCATTTTGATAGAACAGGGTCTAAGTCTGTTTATACATAAACATTTTAATCAGCAGAGCATCCTAGCAGCAGAAAACAACTTCAAAGACATTGTTGTTGGCACAGCAAACGCTGCAACTACTTTCACATGGCAAAGACAATTCAGAAATATCTGGTCCCATTCAGTAAATTTTTTAAGTCATTGATATTTAGTGTTGGTAGATTTAAAAAATCAAATCTGAAAAAAATTCTAAAGTGCAAAAAATAACTTACAAAAGGACATTTTAGAAACTTACAGATGATGTCCTATCTACTTCACAACGACTGCTCAGAATAAAACAGGCTTCAGCATCATCCATCCTAAACGCAGACAGAAAAACAAAATTATCACACAGGAATACCAACATATTATCTGAAAATTAGAATTTTAATGCTTTGTCTATATGTCACAAGCAAAATATACATAAACTAGGTTTGTCTTTCAACAGAAGGTAAAAAAAAAAAAAGTCAAATCTTATTCCTTCTGTCATGGTTACATATATTTTCAACTGGGAGGGCAGTGTCTCCACAGGATAAGCACAAGACTGTGGACCACAAAGACAGCAATTTGAGGCCATCAACTATTCAGGTGAAAGATGAGGCTTTCTACTGCGGCGAAGATTTAAAAAGCCTCAGAAAACCCTATACTAGATCACTGTGAGTTGTAACCGACTGGAAGGTACTTAACAAACAAAAATATTTACATATATGTGATCTGATTAGATTAAAGGACTACTACTGGCCTTAATTTTATAATTATTTTTAATTGCAATATCACAATTAAACAGAGAAAAAGCAGACATTTCAGTATTCAGAAGTCAAAACCTTCTATATATTGGTAAGTCCGGGAGAGGATACATACTGTCCCAAAACACCTCCCACATATGGAGATCCTACATTTCTTACATTTAGTGATAAAGAAACAGTTTGTGATTACCTTTCATTGCTTGGTTGTTGTTATTGTTAAGTGCCTGTGAGTCAGTTCTGATTCTTATTTTCTAAATGAGTAATGATTTATCTTTGTAGTTTATAGAGATAAAATAAACCTTTTAAAAATATATAGATATATTTTCTACTGAGAGGAATAATAAAAGTCTTCAGATTTTGACCAAATCAAGCAGTTGAGGAGAAACATTGAGCAATGATGATTAAGATCAGTTATGTATCAAATAATGTTTTCTAAACATTTTTTTAAAAAAAGCAACTCAAAAGTCATGAAACTGACCTTTAATAATTGTTTGGAGAATCCTACTCCTTGCTCTATGCATGAGGAATTTGTTTGAACAATGTATTAATTAATTTTAACTCCCAAACATTTTATATGAAATTTGGGTTATAAATGAAAAAAAAAAAAAATAGAAACTCTGCTGCTAACTTCTTTTGTACTCCATCT